ATGTATCCTCCCCAAGAGAATTTCCCTTAATTAAGCGAAATAAATCCTTTTGGGAATTATTTCCAGCACTGCCAAGTGGGGGAAAACCCACAGTGTGTGTGTACCGGTACACAGGACAGCCCCGGGCACCCACAAGGCCAACTGTTCCTGACACTCTTGGGGTTCACAACAAAGTGTGGGACACCAGGGTCAACAAACAATTTAAACCCCTTTAAACTAAAACTGCTGCTGAAAGGGGTGCTGCAGTCCTCTGCCAGGCTGTCCTACCCCAGGCAACGTAAGCATTCGTGCAGCTTTGTCGTGGAATCGCTGCATAACTTGAGCTGGAAGGGACCCAACCATCTGCCCAGCACACAGCCAGCGTCACCGCCAGGCCAGCTTGCCCAGGATAGTGTCAGGCTGAGCTTTGTGTATCTCCAAGGATGGAGACCCCACCACCCCACCGCATCCCCAGTGCAGCCTGGGACCACTCATCACAAAGGATTTTTTCCCTGTACCTTATCAAAATTTGTTGCAAGCCGCGTCCTTTGAGAAGTGGGCAAGGCAGCAGGGTGCAGAGCATGAGGAACCACACCTGACCCTGGGTCAGCGAACATCCAAGCAGTATTCCTGGCTTGAAACAAGGACAACTCCAAGCCAAAGAACTGAAGATGGGATTTCAGCCTTGTTTCTGTTGTATTCTGTGGCTGCCCCAGAGGAAGGCCCTACAAACAGCAGGAGAAGCAGCAAACGAAAGAGCAAAGCCACGAACTCTCCTGCTTTCTGCTTCTGTCAGCTGGAGAGGCTGCACGAAATCCTGCGCTGCCTGTGTGCAGAGCTCGGGGCCGGCAGGGAGCCAAGGCAGGGCAGCGAGGGCCTGCACCAGGGGCAGAGCTGCCCATGCCGTAAGGAACAGACAGATCCGGAACGGTTTGTGGGCAAAACCTTATGGGTTCTGCAGGGAACTGCAATTCCTGGGGACACCTCGGTCAGGCTTTGGTCGCTTTTACTTTAGGAATGAAGAGGGTCCAGCTCCTCCCTCACATTGACAGTCACACATCAGGATGAAACTGGGGTCTGCCATGGCTGTTTGATTCGATAAAAACTAATTTCCTTTTTTTTTTTTCTTATGCCTTTCCCTATTTCACTACAGCCAGTCTTCAACCTCCATGGCCCTCAAGTCACCAGAGCAACGTACCCACATTTCATCAGGGAGCAAAGGACAAAAGTGGATCTTCTCAGAAACCATAAATGCACAGGTCAGCCCGAACTCCTCCACCCACACATCCCCCTCCAGCAGCCACTTACCTTCTGCTGAACTGCCAGCCCAGCCTTTCTCCAAAGATCCTGGCAAGCCCCTTCTGGCCACGAGCAAAAAGCAAAAGCTGTGGCTTCATTAAGCATTTCAGACAGCAGGACCATGGTGGAAAAGAGCCGTGATTTGCAGTTTCTTTTGGCTGCCCTTGATGCTGACTTGGTATTTTGGATCTCGCAAGGACTGGCTGGGAGACTTCTCCTTTCCCAGGGTCCACCGTTGTAAGGTTTTACCTGCTTCACTAGTAGGTACTTTTAACAGAAGCAGAGCAGGTAGGAAATTCAGTTTGTTGTTAAATCACGTGCAAATGACAGGTGGTTTCTGAAGATCCCACTGCTCACACAATGAACCTTTTATGCTTCACAAGCAGTATGAGATGCATTCCTAGGGCATGACTCTGAAGACAGCTCAAGTCACGCTCCCAGCTTAAGCTGGAGCAAACACAAAGGTTTAGTTTCACCAAACCAGCCTACAATTGCTCTGCATCTAAGTGGCCTTCAACTATGGCTGCTTGGGAATTGCAGTGCCTTGTATACCAGAAGATCACACTCGCACACACTTCAGAATGTGCCGTATACTACAGGTGCACACCTCCTCCCATTCAGGTTGGGATGGAATTTATTTGGAGAATTGAGTTTTCCTCTTTATAGAGGCTCCGTCTCATTCCATGCCTGGGGTGTCCTACAGAGCAGCAGACAATTCCCTGCTGCAGCCAGCTTCACCCTCCTGCTGCTCTGGCTTCTTCCTGTAAGGGACTCTGGCAGATCCTGGTAAACAATCCAGACACCCTTCCACAAATTTTAGCAGCCCAGCTAGTGCCTGCATGACACTCTCTCCTGCACATCCCTAGAAGTAGTAGCAGAACTACTTTTTTCCCCCCCTCTCCCAGTTCCTGCAGGGCACACTGAGTCCTGCTCGCTGTAGTAGGGCTCCAGCCAGGCAGTTGTCCTCTGGGGCTGTAAGCACCCTGTAAGAATAACTTTGAGTCTTATTTGCAAAACTTAAGACACACTCAGAAGAAAAAAGTTGATCAAGTACTGTCAGCTCTTTGCAGGGGAGGAAAACACCTTGCAGAACATTTTTCTAAGCCCAAGGGTCATACAGCTCAGCAGTTTGGGAAGAATTCGATCTCCTTTCCCTTTGGAAACATGGACCTGAATTAACATTCACGACTTTTCTTCCAGGACGCTCTGTTATGGCTGAAGTAAGCTGCAGTCACACTGCTGCTGCTAATAGGTCTGTTCGCCATGCCTCAGTCAGCTGAAGTGTTCTGATTATCAGGATAATTTCACTTCACTAATAGAGCTTTCCACAGCCTGAAAGACCGACCACACGTCATCCCTTGTGCTGGGCTGCCCCAAGGGAAAACCCAGCCCTTGCCCGAAGCCCAACAAGGATTCCCCAGGATCTTTGGAGAACTTTGGTTCTGCCCACACCCCCAGCTGCACCACTGCAGACAGAGCTTTCGGGTGCGAGAACCAAGTGTCAAATACTGCGAAGTACAACCATTTCAAACATCAAGCCTCAAACACACAGGGACCTCTCCAGAGGTTACCCCGGTAAATGTGCTGCAGCTGAGCGCAGGTTCCTCACAGCCTCATTGGGCCAGATCCCCAAGATGGTGTTTGGAAGTTCCTCCTTAGGAGTTTTGCCAAAAAACCTCATTTTGACTAAGCAAAGATAAACCTTTTGCCCTTCCCTCACTGTGTTTTTCAACAGCTGTGCTCACACCCCTGCCCCAATCCATACCACAACCGACACCAACACCTCCTACCACCAGCTTTGCTATCTCAAGTCAGCAAGTCACCCGCAGGAAGGTGCCATTAGTGGGGCAAACTCCTTTTGTCTCAGCAGCAGCTCTTCCTCAGCAGGGTACACTGGTGCTCCTGCCCAGTGCGGTTATTGGCAGAAAAAGCCAGAATATTCACTGCTGAACACAAGTTTTGTGGCTCAGCCAGGTTTTAGGATCCATTTCTTGACAAGGCAGCCCTGGATTCACAGATTGCCCATGCAAAGGGAAACACTGGAACTGCTTTTTCTTTCGGAGGCTACACCAAGACCTGGAGCACAGGATGTAAGACTGGTTACAGGGCTTGATTACCCCACTCCCACGAAACAAAATTCAGAGCTTCCAAACCCCCTTGCTTTCTAATGCTCCTCACTGAGGTGGGAGGCTAGGGGCAGCTGGCTAAGGATTCCGAGATGACAACTCAGTAACAACAGTTATTAAGCAGGCGTTCTTACTGCAGCGCTGGGGATCGTTCCACCACAAGTGCTCCTCCTTTAACAACCAATTCTGCATTTTTAGCCTTTCCAGGTACTCCTGAGGCCCATACTCCTGGGTATACCTGACCTTTTATTTCTTGTATATTTTTCTCTAATTGGGGGTACAGTGAGGGCCAAACTTCATATTCCAATGGGGTTTGCTTCTCGTATTTTAAATTCAGTTTCTCTATTGTTAAATTTTATTTCAGCATTCAATTGCCCTCCCGAGTCCCTTCCCAAAAGGGGTTTAGGGGCTTCAGGCAGGTAGAGGTATGGATGAACCCCTACGCTTTTCCCAATTTTGATAGCTTCAGAAAGCAAGCCTCCTCAACCTGCCCAGTTGCTCCCACAATATTAAATTTGCCTACGCACAGGTAATGAGGTCTGACTTAATACTGAAAATGTGGCACC